CTGTTTTATCTTGGTACTTCTCTCATGCTTTTTATTTTCCTCATATAGCTGTTAATACATAACTACCTGTTGATATGATATTTATAAATGAACGACTTGTTTTATCAATGTAGATAGTGTACATAAATATCCCAGTCTGTTTCAAAAGCCTTATTTTGACGTGTCTCTTTAATGTATCATTGGGAAGAGTTTAGTGGCAGGTTTTTTAGATATAAATTAGGTAAGCAGGCAGACCAAAATAAAAGGAAAACATCATCCTCGGGCAGAATGTGAAATCTCTTAAATATTTCATTCCTATGAGGAGCTGCCTTCTTCCTGTGTTCGGGCAGTTTGATGCTCTCTTGCATGTTGCTCTTACATGTTCCTGAAAGCTTTTACTTCATTCTGTCAGTTGCTCTGCAGACACAGGCCCAACTGTCCTCCGGTAGACCTAGAGTTATTCTGATGGTCACCCGATGGCCTGCTTTCCCTTATTGTACTTTTTTCCTATCCTGGGATTATCTTTGGGACTCCTTTGGGAAGAACAGCTCTTCCTTCTATAGGAGTCATCACTTATTCCTGTTTTGTATTATAGTTTCTTCTATTGTTTCTTATCAGAATAATCAGTTTGCTGAAATTCTACAATTTCAGATCATTATCTTTTTTTGTTTCCAGCACTACGGGTATGTTTTCCTTTCTTTTTTTCCCATGTTTTTTCTCATTTCAGTAGGATTTTGAGAAGGTATGAGGTACATGCATGTGCTCAGTCTGATTTTATTTAGTCAGCAGTACTTAATAAGTGTAGGAAATGTTCTAGGTTTTGTAAATAAGATAGACAAATGAGTCTCACCTTTCCTAAAGCTTATATTTTGATGAGGAAGACATATTGAGCATATAAGTAAATAACATTATAGTAGGAATAGGTTGTAGGAAGTAATTTGGACTGAAAGATTCAGAGTGAATGTCCTTTAATATTTTAAGAAAAAAAAATGCCTGTCTCATGAAGAGCCTTGGGAAGAGAGTACTAGGTACAAGGATTAGCAGATATATAAAGTGGAGGGAGGAGCTTGTTTTATTAAAAGAAAAGTATGCCTGGAGTGTAGTAAACAAAGTGGTGAATGGTATGTGATAAAATTGGAGAAAGAGGTGAATGCAAGATGTTATGGGGACCTGTGATCTTTGGAAAGGAATGTTGACTTTATTCTAAATACGATGAAAAGCTTATGAAAGACTTTAGAAGGGGAGCTATGCTGTCTGATTTTTTATTGCTGTTGTTGGTGTTTTTTTTTTGTTTTTTTGAGTCGAGGTCTCACTCTGTCACACAACCTGGAGTGCAGTGGCATGATCATGGCTCACCTGCAGCCTCAACCTCTTTCACTTGAGTGATTCTTTTTCCTCAGCCTTCCAAGTAGCTGGCACTACAGGTGCTTGTCATCAATTCCTGGCTATTTTTTGTAGAAATGAACTCTTACTCTGTTGCCCATGCTTTTTTGTTTTGTTTTGTTTTGTTTTATTTTGAGTCAGGGTCTCACTCTCTTGCCCAGGCTGGAGTACAGTGGCATGATCATGGCTCACCATAGCCTTGACCTCCTGGGCTCAGGCAATCCTTCCATTTCAGCCTCCCACGTAGCTGGGACTACAGATGCATGCCACCATGCCTGGCCATCTTTGTTGGATTTATAAGGGATGTTGTAAGGTGATAAAAAAGTAAGATGTCTGTTGGATTTGATAATAGGTTTTTGTTTTTGATTACCGGTTTTATTGGGTTAGGACTTATATCTGGAGTAGATTGAATGGGAGGTGACAAACTGAAGGTATAAAGTATAGGCACCTCTTTTGGGAAGTTTGACTGTGGAAAGGTTTGCAGAGATAGGTGGGTAGCTGGAGGAACAATCCTAAATTCAGTGTTAAACTTTAAGAGGAATACTATATAAAGCTTATCACTATTTCTTTTAATCTGAGAAATTCTAAGCATATACAAAAGTAGAAAGTGACCAACCCTGCCCCATCCATATCCATCTACCTCTTCCTTTGCATTATTTTGAAGCAAATCCCATATAATTTCAGGTATAAATATTTTGTTACATGGTTTTAAAGATAAACCTTTAAAAATATAAGCATAATACCATTAAAACATAAAAATAATTCTTTTACTATCAAATATCTGATTAGGATTCAAATTTTCCATTTTCTCATAAATTATCTTAAAGTTTTAAAAACATATTTCAAATTGCATACACAAATTGCATATGAATGATATCTTTTTTAGTTCTCTTTTTAATTATTTTTACTTTTATTTTTGTAAGTTCAAGAAATTGCGCCACCTGTTCATTTGTATGTTTTCCCATGGTGTAAGTTAACACATTTCTCAAATGACTTCTGTTTTTCCTGTAAGTTATAAGTTGGATCTAAGGGCTGAAGATATTTGGACAAGACTACTTAATAGGTGGTGATGTAGACTTGTTTCAGAGGCACTTAGGTCTGCTTATCTGTCTTTTAGTGATGTTAGCAGCTGTTGATGTTTAGTGCTTAAATCTGTAGTCCATTGCAGGCTAAAAATGGTGATACTCTGAATCTATAATTCCTTCATTTATGAGCTTTAATAATTCTTTTTTTTTTTTTTTTTTGAGTTGGAGTAACACTCTGTTGCCCAGGCTGGAGTATAGTGGCATGCTCATGGCAACCGCAGCCTTGACCTGCTGGGTTCAGATGATCCTTCCACCTCAGCCTTCCAAGTAGTAGGAACTACAGGCATGCGCCACCACATTCAGCTAATTTAAAAAAAAATTTTTATTTATTCTAGAGGCAAAGTCTTGCCAGGTTGCCTGGGCTGGTCTCTAACCCCTGGACTCAGGCAATCTTGGCGCCTCCACCTCCTACAGTGCTGGTATTACAAGTGCAAGCCACCATGCCCGGCAGCTTTAATAATTTTAAAATGAGAAACTTCTTTTCATCTGTGATTTGGTAACCCAGTGAACAGTATAGTTTGAATAGAAAAAGCAGGATAGATGTTTTATTCTTTCCCTTTGTTTGTTTTCTTCTCTTTTTTTTTTTTTTCTTTTTGAGTTGGAGTCTCACTCCTTCACCCAGGCTGGAGTGCAGTGGCACGCTCGTGGCCACCCCAGTGTCGACCTGTGGGCTCAGGCGATCCTTCCACCTCAGCCTTTCAAGTAGCTAGAACTACAGGCGTGCGCTACCATGCCCGGCTAATTTTTGATTTATTGTAGACACTAGGTCTCACCAAGTTGCCTGGGCTGTTCTCGAACCCATGGGCTTAGGCAATCCACTTGCCTTGGCCTCCCAAGGTACTGAGATTACAGGCAGAGACACTGAACCCAGCCTGTTTAGGTTTTCAAGGTGTAATGAATTTTGTTGTTTGGTATTTTCCTATGGTGGTAAAGTAGTTTTTACTTTTAATGCCATGTACTCATATATTTGATATGTTTCAATCTGTTATTTTTATTGATGTTCAGATTTTATAATAGTCAGTGGAAACCTCTTCAAGTTGGCCTGTCTTTTAACAGGATCTTGGTTGTCTCTAACTTTCCTGCAATTAAATGTTGTTATATCGTCTGATGTAGGTCTAATCAGAAATCTAGAATTAACTAATTCTTCAAGGATATAGTATTTAGAAATAATTGTTACTATGTTAACTTTTTTGTTAGTCTGGTTTTTGTTTTGTTTTGTTTTTGCCGGAAAGTGAGAAAACAGGATTTATTGAGAAGACAGAAAAGCTCCCACAGTGGGAGGGGACACGGGGGGGGGGCTTGCTATGTTGTCCAGACTGGTCTTGAACTCCTGGTCTCAAGCAATCCTCCTGGAATTGCTGGGATTATAGGCACAAGTTGCTGAACCTGGCTATTTTACTTATTTATTTTTTATAGTTGTCTGTCAAGCTTACTTACTCTGTAGCCTTTCAAATTATTCCCTTCAGTTCTTGGATATAAATTCTCCTGTTTGTTAGGCCCCTTAACACTGTGAGGGATTCTCTTTCTTGCTTTTGAGTTCAAGTATGTATCAAAACAAGGTGTTTTGTTCTGCCTTTTTTTAAAAATGTATTTGTCTTATCCACCATTTGATTTGTTTAGAGTGGTAGGATTGGATTCTTGCATTAATTACATCACTGTATTTGGCAGAGTTCTCCTATTGCTATTCCATTTATGGAACATCATGCTCTTGATAAAAAATTACCTCATGTGACGAAAGTGAAAGACAAGACGGTAGTTTTTACTTCTGTAGTGTTTTTATATTTTATATGGATGCTTTCTGTTTTATTTATTTATTTATTTTTGAGTTGGAGTCTCACTCTGTCGCCCAGACTGGAGTGCAGTGGCCGCTCCTGGCCACCGCAGCCTCGACCTGCTGGGCTCCAGGGATCCTTCCGCCTCAGCCTTCTGAGTAGCCGGAATTACAGGCGCGCACTATCACTCCCGGCTGATATTTTGATTTACTGTAGAGATGAAGTCTCGCTGCCCAGGTGGGTCTCGATCCCGCGGGCTCAGGCAATCCACTCACCTCAGCCTCCCAAAGGTGCGGGATTACAGGCCGAGCCACCGACCCCAGCTCTATTTTATTTTTATTGTAATCTTTATTATAACTAAGGTCAGTTTTGCTTCTGCATATTTGACATTTCAATCTTTAATACAGTTAGTGGGCAACAAGGTTTGGAATTTTTCCTTTTTCTAATACTTCATCACTTTTAGCCTGGAAACAGGGAGAAAAAAGGCAGAAGGGTTGCTGTGGAATTATGTGAACTTGTAGGACCTGAAATTGAAGTTGCTAAATGAAGAAACTTGTTTTCTCCTCCAAGATCCCTCCTATGTCATGTGTTATGTGGATCTGAATTCTGTGAATTTCCTTTTTTCTTATGTATGTGGGGGGGATATTATGGTTGTAGTTTTATAAAATATGCCAGGAAGCATACCCTAGTGCTATTTAGAAAGAAAAAGGAAGACAATGAGAACTTGGGCAAACAGTTCTTTTTAAGCCCTAAAATATATCACTTTTATTCATCCATACAGAAAACAAGCATGAGGCCAAGAGGAGGCGAACAGAGAGAGTTAGGAGAGAGAAGATAAATTCTACAGTAAATAAAGATTTAGAAAACAGAAAAAGGTCTCGAAGTAACAGCCATTCAGATCATATCAGACGAGGAAGAGGAAGACCTAAAAGTGCATCTGCCAAAAAACATGAGGAAGAAAGAGGTATGGATAAATACAAGCAGGCTTTTTTTTTCCTTCTAATTATTAAATTGATCTGGGGTCTTAGAGAGTAGTGAAGAAAGTGGAAGCACTGAACTTTTAGACTTAAAATCATAACTCATATTTTAGTTTGAAAGTATTTTCTCTATGGTAGATGCTTTTTTTAATCACAGAAATTTAATTCTTATTGGAAACCTAAAGATTTATACTAGGTAAACTCACTGTACTATAAACTGATGGTAGTAGAGTTCAGAGATAATTTGTGAATTCCTGGAGCAGCCTGTTAAAATGATTGTATTTTGTTTTTTAATGACAAGTGTTAGTTCTGTTATGACTTATTTCTTTTGTTTTTTTTTTGAGTTGGCATCTCACTCTGTTGCCCAGACTGGAGTGCAGTGGCACGCTCCCGGCCACTGCAGCCTCCATCTGCTGGGCTCCAGTGATCCTTCCGCCTCACCCTACTGAGTAGCCGGAATTACAGGGTGCACTACCACACCCGGCTGATTTTTTTAAAAATTTACTGTAGAGATGAGGTTTCGGCAAGTTGCCCAGGCGGGTCTTGAACCCTCAGGCTCAGGCAATTCACTCACCTCGGCCTCCCAAAGCGTGGGATTACAGGCTGAGCCACCGAACCCGGCTATGACTTATTTCAAACTGTTATGCTGTGAGTTTTTAAAAGTTCACTGTTGAAAGTGTTTCTGGTGGATTCTTAAATTACTTATTGGGAGATTTGTGTGCTTCCTCTTTTGAGGCAGCTTTTGCATAGTTAGGTGAATTCTTCTTGTTCCAAAGTGTGTTGATATTTCTCATTACAGGTATTCTCCTTTATTCTGATAAGTGTACCACCAGTAACTTGTTTTTAGCCATTAACTAAAACCTCAGCTTATCTTTTTTTGAATTATGCATCTTTTATAAAACTTATGGAAAATTTCAATTTATACAAGAGTAGGAAGAATAGTATAATGAACCCATATATGCCCAAGAATATACTTATGAGACTTTCAAGCCAGTAACTAATGAGAAAAAGGGATAGTTGCTCAATATTATTCTTTAAAAAACTCTGTTGAGGAGATTTTGACTTCATTGACATGCATTTATAATTTCCTACATTATGTGAGTTATGCTTTGCTTTTTCAGATGTTTGGTCTTAGACACTCAAGTGCTTTCTGTATAAATGTACATTTCTCTTACTTTATACAGTGAAAAATTTCTACCTGTATATCATTTCTCTCTGCTTTGTGTGCTTTCATTTGAATAAAGTTACTACTGTTAGAGAAAACAACTTGATTGATGTATAGCTATTCCTAGTTAAAGGTGTATTAATATTATATAGCTAATATAATATTTAACTGTATTCTATGAAGGATGTGCTTAGATACTCCTTATTCCTTGAGTAATTTTACTGCCTTTTCTCTTTCCTTCTGCTCTTCCGGAGAGTTTGAATTATTTTCTCAATTTGAATATACTTCCTTAATAGGATGATCAGAAACCTATACCAAAGACTATTTTGGAGGGGAAGGTGGGTAAGAAAACATCAACAGAGGAAAAAGAAAAGACCCAGAAAACAGAACATTGTTTTCAGTTGAAATAAAGGGAATGTAGTAACTAAAAGGACAGAGAAGGAATGCTTCTGATGGTGGGTGAGGGGAGATGAGAGAACAGATAAGGACAGTCTTTTAGTTGGGGAACTGAAGTCTGTATTGTTGTGCTAGGTTTAAGAAAGCTGTCTTTAGTGAGACATGCTTTTAATTTATTAAAATGCTGTTGATACAGATGCTGTTGATATAGATTGCAAGAAATTGCTTAAAGCAGTTTTTGTAGCACAAACTGGAGTGCTTTAATGCAGACTGGGGGCAAGGAGTCACTTTTTGTGTAAAGAGTCAGATAGTGGATATTCTAGGCTTTGTGGGTCATGCTATTTCTGTCATAATGACTCAGCTCTGTCATTGTAGCTGGAAAGCAGCCATAGCAATATGTAAATTAATGGGTATGGCTGTATTCCAGTAAGACTTTATAAAAACAGGTGGTGGGCCAGATTTGGCACCTGGGCTGTGTGGTTTGCCTTTCCTTGATGTAAGCTATTGTTCTCTAAATATAATATGGATCGGGCTTGTAAACTTAAATTGTCTGTATGTTTTAGAGTAGACTTCTTCCATATGCTCCTATTAGCTATTTAGTTTTTGTTTGTTTGTTTGTTTTTTGGTTTCCTGCTCTTAGGATACTTGAAAATGTTAAAACAAGCTTTAACTTTATTCTGACATAAGAATTTTAAGGAAAACCTGACAATGTGTTGTTTTTTTTTTAAACTTTTAAAAATTACCTTCTCTGTTTTATTTTTGTTGAGTCAGAGTCTCACTCTGTTGCCCAGGCTGGAGGGTAGTGGCACGCTCACCATCACCTCAACCTTGACCTGCTGGGCTCAGGCGATCCTTCTGCCTTAGCCTCCAAGTAGCTGGAACCACAGGTGTGTGCCACCACGCCTGGCTAATTTTTTTATTTACTGTAGAGACAATGTCTGCCAAGTTGCCCAGGCTGGTCTCAAACCCCTGGACTCAGACTGTTCTCTTGCCTTTGTCTCCCAGCGTGCTGGGATTATAGGAGTGAGCTACTACACCCGGCTGCCTTTTCTATTTTAAAAAGAATAGGAAGAAGGAAGAATGAAAAGGGAAAGATTGTTAAACATGTAGTAAACTCCTTTGGGGAAATCTAAGAAAGAACCTGATTTTTGTTATACAACTATGGAAAGGTCAATAATTTGTGTATCAGTTATGCCTAAATGTAGAGGTGAAGGTAAGGTGGAAAACAAGAAAAATGTTTGAAAGTCTCTATGAATAATGGACTGTTTAACTTGCTCCTCACCTCCTACATTTATCTTTTGAAAAAAATCAGGCGCCAGGTGTGATGGCACATGCCTGTAATCCCAAAATTTAAGGAGGCCAAGGCAAGAGAATCGTTTGAGCCCAGGAGTTTGAGATCAACCTAAGCAATATAACGAGATCCTGTCTTTTCAGAATAATAAGCCGGATGTGTGTGGTAGCACATGCCTGTTGTCCCAGCTACTCAGGAGCTTGAGGTGGAAGGATTGCCTAAGCCCAGGAAGTTGAGGCAGCTGTGAGCTGTTGTCATGCCACTGCACTCTAGCCTGGATGACAGGGTGAGGCCTTGACTACAAAAGAAAAAGATCAGGCATGGTGGCTCACGCCTGTAACCTCAGCACTTTGGGAGGTTAAGACGAGAGGAATGTCTGAGCCCAAGGGTTTGAGACCAGCCTGGGCAACTTGTTGAGACCCTGACTCTACAATAAATCAAAAAAGTAGCTAGGCGTGGTGTTGAGTGCCTGTAGTTCCAGCTACTTGGAAGGCTGAGGTGGAAGAGTTGCCTGAGCCCAGCAGGTCAAGGCTGCAGTGTACATGAGTGTGCCTCTGCACTCCACCCTGGCTGACAGAGTGAGACTCTGACTTAAAAAAAAAATCAGAAAAACTAGGTGAAAATTGGACATAGTAAATATTGAGTTCTAGAGATAGGCTTTTATCTTCCAGGTAGGAGAGACTTGGAAATATCTTCTCTAAGGAATCTGAACCGCCCAAGAGAAAAGGCCTAAAGTAAAAATGCCTGCATTAGGGATTTCACAGAAAAATGATCTGGTCAGATCATCCTAATCTGATAACTCCAGTCCAGCTTCACATATGTATACTTGCTTCTAATTAGCTTTCTTGGTCACACTGTTAAATATGAGCATATTGCCAAGAGTTACCCAGAATCTGGGGGAAAGCATCTGGTATGAAAGATTAAGATCAAATCAATAGGAAAGAAAAAATAACTTGGAGAAAACAAGTTTTTGCAGGAAGAAGAAAAAAATTTAAATTATCATTAACCCTTTGCACTTGAAGACATCTTGTGGATCACCTACCAGCAACTCAACTGCAGTTTTTTACGAAGTAGTGAACGATGAATCACTTCATATTAAATGCTATAGTGTTGGGATCAATTATTTTATTGTAATGATATTTGGCTTATAATGGAGTTTTGGACATTGAGGAACTTATTCATGACAAAAAAATCAAAATTTCATATCTTATTTCTTTCTGACATGTGGTAACATGTGAAAGTTACTGACATGCATTTGAAGTTCATCGATACATGTTGTGCAGTAGTAATTTGTTTGATGTCTTCCACTGTAACCAGTGCACTGTTTGAGCAGACAGTGCAGTCTTGTATTCTTCCTTCCATATTAATAATATGTAATTTATTGTCCAGTCTGTTGTTCAACAACAATGTGGGAAGGACACACTCATGATTCCTGAAAACCAGTTCTAATCAGAAGCTTGACATATTTCAAATGAGACATAAGTTTTTCTTTCTTTTTTTTTTTGAGGCTCAGTATGGTATATAGAAGTTAATAATACTTATTTTTAGTCCCCAGAAGAAAAATTTCCTCACTTATGCCAAATCTGTTTTGTGATGACTGCTTTTTCTTTATTTTTTCATCTACATAACGATTTGTTTATTTTGTTACACTATCCACTAATTCATTTGTAAAATACAGAGCAAAATAGTCCATCAGTTCTCTTATATCACTTGCTATTTGTAGTCCTATTGTTCGAGATGAACAACAAAATTTATTCTTACTGGAGGAGCATCTTTTTTTTGTAGCATCTTCCCATCGTTCACTTGACAATAGTTGTGGTCTACTTCTTCAAAACTACTAACACTTTCATCGCTATCACTTTCTGTTGTGTTCACCTGTTTTCTTCTTGATGGGACAATATCACTATCTCTACTATAATTTTCTTCCACCTCATTATTTTTTCTTTTTTCTTTTTTTTTGAGTTGGAGTCTCACTCTGTCGCCCAGACTGGAGTGCAGTGGCTGCTCCCGGTCACCGCAGCCTCGACCTGCTGGGCTCCGGCGATCCTTCCGCCTCAGCCTTCCAAGTAGCTGGAACTACAGGTGTGCACTACCACGCCCGGCTAATTTTTTGATTTATTGTAGAGATGAGGTCTCACCAAGTTGCTCAGGCAGGTCGCAAACCCGCAGGCTCAGGCAATCCACTCACCTCAGCCTCCCAAAGGCGCGGGATTACAGGCTGAGCCACCGAGCCCGGCTTACATAGAATTTCAAAAGCATACTGAGGAAAAGAAGTTAGACACAAAAAAGTATATACTACATGGATGCCATTTATATGAAGTTTAACAACGGACAAAATGAAAAATCGAATAATAGAAATCATAACAGTGGTTGCTCATAGGGCTTGGGAGGGATTGACAGGGAAGAAGTATGAAGAGTTTTCTAGAGTGAAGAAAATGTTCTGTATCTTGATGATATTGTGGTTTACATGTGTATGTACATTTGTCAGAACTCATCCAGCTGTACACTTGAAGGATCTGTGTATTTCACTGTGTGTAAATTTAGGAGTAATTTTAGAAAAATAAATAAAATTGAGTTTTCTCAACTGTGGCACCAGTAGTCAGAAGACAATTAATTGATTGCCTTTACAATTCTAAGAAGAAACCTACAAGCCTTTCTTTACTCAACCAAACTATAAATTAGTGTGAAGGTAGACTGAAGTTACTTTCTCATGTTCAGGGTCCCAAAAAACCTACCCATGCTCCATTTCACAGGAAGCTCCTGCAAGTTATATGCCACGAAAATGAAGAAAACCATGAAAGGATTCTCAGATCTAGGACAAAGACTCCAAGTTGAGAGAGGAGGGGACTCTCCAGCATCATGCTGATGAAAGAGCACAAGATACTTGTTCAGTAGGCCTAGAGAGCAGCCATTTCAGAGTGGAGCAGGGTGAAAGACTTGGAGAGAGTTCTTTAGGAAGATAAAATTGATAAAATACTTAATATGTGTAAACATTCTGAAAGATTTATACAATTAGGAAAGAGTTTAAGTTGAATCAGAACGAAAACCAAGCAGATAAAAAAGGGAAATCACTTCAGGGAAAACAATATACAGGAAAAGTGAAATCACTTACCATACTAATAATAATGTAAACACTGAAAATTGATGACCGGGTGCAGTGGCTCACGTCTGTAATCCCAGCACACTGAGAGGCGGAGGCGAGAGAATTGCCTGAGCCCAGGAGTTGGAGACCAGCCTGGGCAACTTGGAGAGACTCGTCTCTACAGCAGATCAAAAAATTAGCTGGGCATTTTGGCGAGGCTTATAGTTCCAGCTACTTGGAAGACTGAAGCAGAAGGATTGCCTGAGCCCAGCAGGTCGAGGCTGTAGTGGCTGTGAGCATACCATTGCACTCCAGCCTGGGCTACAGAGTGAGACTAAATTGTGGTTTAACTATAATTGGAAGATGAGGGCATGGGCAGAGTGTTTATGGTGAGGCCAAGAGATGCTAAACAGTATAATTCTTATTTTCCATAGTAGAAAAATAATTCCTAAAATCAAGAAGTAGTATTTTGGCTAGGCGCAGTAGCTCAAGCCTGTAATCCTAGCACTTTGAGAGGTTGAGGTGAGGGGATTGCCTGAGCCTATGGGTTTGAGGACTGCCTGGGCAACGTGGCGAGACCTCATCTCTACGATAAATCAATAAAAAAATTAGCTGGGCATGGTAGCGCACACCTGTAGTTCCGGCTACTTGGAAGGCTGAGGCAGATGAATCACCAGAGCCAAGCAGATGGACGCTAGGGTGGCTGTGAGCATGCCACTGCATTCCAGCCTGGGCGATGGAGTGAGACTCCAACTCAAAAAAAAAAAAGTAGCATTTTATAAAAATGTTACTTAGAGATAGATTTGCTTTTGTAAAACCAAAAAGGAGGAATTGGGAAAAATAAAAGTAGTTATAGAAAAAAGTAGTAAAAGTAGTTGAATTTGGCGAGTGGGAATGTGCATGAGGGGATGATTTCCATTTTCTGAAACAAGTTTTGAAAAAATGATTGGACTCTATGTGTAGATTAAAATGTCAACCAAAAATAAACAAAAATAAAAGAATTTGGAAAATGCACCAAAATGTTAAATTTAGCTAATTCGTGAGATAAAGGTGATTTTGTTTTCTTTATTTTAAAAATTTACTCCCCTGAACTTGGGTTACTTTTGTAACCAGTAGGGAAAAAATGAAAATAAATGCCAGTTATTCTTTTTTCCTATAGCAGGGCTAAGGTGAAGATGTTAATATATTCATAGAGTCACTATTGATGTTTACAAGGGACTATCTTATAGAGTGAGAAAATTCATTTTGATTGAGACATTGAGCTCATACTAGTGAGGAGAAATGAGATTCTTATAGAAATGATGTAGCTATCACAGTGTGTATAAAATATATAGTTTACATGTACTTTTCATTTCAGTGACTCCTTTGTGTAGTTTTTAAAAAATGTTCAATAGCATAGTACTTTATAGCATTAAATATACATTTTAGTACATATATACTGTTGTCATTTAATGAACTACTTAAAAGCTTAAAAAAGTTAAATTTGTTACATCTATTGCCTTTATATTAAGCTTTTCCTTTTTCTTTTAACAGAGAAACAGGAAAAGGAAATTGACATCTATGCTAACCTCTCTGATGAAAAGGCTTTCGTGTTTTCAGTCGCCTTGGCAGAAATAAATAGGAAAATTATCAATCAAAGACTTATTCTCTGATACTTGTCTGCAAAATCTGTTCCAGCTTTCTTCAGAATTATATCAGCAAATCCTCAAACAGTTGTGGACTCTCAGGAGCATCTGACTGCATCAGTAAGGGCCGTTGATTGTTTCCCCTATCATTTAGCTGGTGCCACATGTTGGGAGCAAAGCTTGGACTATTTGGGGATCTCCTTGTTTACTAAGGAGTATTGTCAGTGTTTTGTGTTTGGGTTATAAGCAAGTGTATTTACAAAAAAAAAATACTGGATGGATGTTAAAGGATCAAAGGGGTAGGGGTGGGGGTGGAAGGATGAAAACTAGGGAGATACAATGTGTGATAGTTTTCAGGTTTGCCACCAGAGATGCAATATTTTAAATACTGTCAGAAAGAGTGACTTTTAAAAATATATATTTCAGATTTTTAGCACTAACAGATTGTATACAGTTCATTTACTTTTAGTAAATTGGCAATTGCTATTTTATTGAATGGGGAATTGAGAATATAAACTGTAAATTTTGTCTTAAATTGATTTTTTTCTTGGCCTTTATTTTTATGACTTACAGTATGAGTTATATTTTAGGAAATACTTTCTAAACAGTTTGGAAGTTTGGGTGCTATATGAAGAAAAACATTTAAGAATATATCATACTTCAGATTTAAAACACCTTGTTTTCTTGAATGTAATTTATTTATTGGTTAAAAAAAAACTTTTCTGCTCTCAAGATGGTGCCTGTTAACCTAAACATAAAATATATTTATTATAATGCAAAATATTTCTTAGCCACTTTTAAGCAGTAATGTTTTATCTGAATGGATATTCATTTATACATCCTGATAATTATTTAAATTGTTAATCTCACTCTGAAAAATAAAATAAACATTAATATTGAAACTGAGCAGATGACAGTGTGTTATAAACTTTTTGTTATAGTGAGTTTGTAAAATATATTTAAATTCTTAATTTTGCTAGGGTTAAATATAACCATTTATACTTGATTTATTTTGTACTAAATACATATGTATTTTGGCATACTAGTTTAATAATTAACATATTCAGACCAGACAATAATTCACCTTATTTTCATTCCCTCTACCTCATTCTGTTTGGAAGTTGTCTGTATAAAATAGTCATCAGTTACATTTAGCCTCTACTTAAGAGAATCTCCCTTGGCCTGGCATGGTGGCTCACGTCTGTAACCCCAGCATTTGGGAGGCTGAAGCAGGAGGATTACATGAGCCCAGGAGCTTGAGACCAGCCTAGACAACATATATAACCTTGTCTCTACAAAAAAATAAAAAATTAGCCGGATTTGGTGGTATACACATGTAGTGCCAGCTACTTGGGAGGCTTAGGCGGAAGGACCAGTTGAGCCTGGAGGCTTTGGTGAGCTATGATTGTGCCAGTGCACTCCAGCCTGGGTGACAGAGTGAGACCCAGACTCAAAAAAAAAAACCAAAAATAATCTCCCTTTTAGTTTCAGCTGTGGTATTGCTGTCACCTCACAAGAAATGTAATTTTTTTTCTACTTTATTTAAATGGCACCAGCAGAGGGAGCATATGAGATACTCTAGATGGGATATAGACTTTTCCTAAGGATTATTTTTCCTTAATCCCCATACCTACCTGCAGGTTCTACTGCAAATATTTTGTATGCATTTTAAAGTAATATTAGTAAAGTTTCCCCAAGAATGTAATGTGATTCTATTTTTGAAACATATTGTATGAAAACTATTTTGAGCAAGAAAGCTTTAAAATGATTCATATCTCAAAATGCTTGTGTACGTATATATGTTCTTAGAAGAAGTAACAACAGCTTGTGGAGTAGGCATCTCTTTAAATAAGAATTATTAATGTGGGAGTCTGTCCCTTTAAAGCTGAAGATCATGAGAGGAAAGTCCTGTTAAAATATTGGCTATAATAAGTGAGAATACCGATTACTGGACTGGAGCTTGCTATGTAGAAAAGTAATTATGGAACTACAGATTCTCATAAGGTTAGACTGTTGGTTCATTGCACCTGAGGCTGCCACCAGCCAGGTAGCACCAAGGCTTTCCACCTGCGAGTACAGCTGGGGAAGCGCTGCCGGAGCTGGAGCCTGAGCCAGGAGATCCCCTCTGGAGACGAGTTCTGGGAGGACCAGGAGAGAGGACATGGTGGTTGAGTGCTGGGAGGCGAGGCCTCAGTGCCAAGGTGCCCTCCTGCCCAGAATCTTCTCCATCCCTGTGTGTGAGTGACCCCAAAGAGCGGCCTCCCTCCCTACTCCTGCTGCTTGTGCATCTGTCCTGAGTGGACCTGTGTGCAGAATTCAGTGACGGGAAGTTTAAGGCCAAAGAGAAAACATATTTAAAAACAGAAAAAAGCCGGGCTCGGTGTCTCAGCCTGTAATTCCAGCACTTTGGGAGGCTGAGGTAAGTGAATTACCTGAGCCCACGGGTTCGAGACCCGCCTGGGCAACTTGGTGAGACCTCAT